CGAGATCGTGACCTGGCTGAAGTCGGACGCTTAACCGACTGCGCCACCCAGGCGCCCCTATTATTATTTTTTTTAATCAGACCTATTTTTTATTTTTATTCATTTTTAGTACAATTTATTGTCAAACTGGCTTCCATACAACACCCAGTGCTCATCCCAACAGGTGCCCTCCTCAATGCCCACCACCTGCTTTCCCCTCTCCCGCCATCCACCCTCAGTTTGTTCTCTGTATTTAAGAGTCTCTTATGGTTTGCCTCCCTCCCTCTCTGGAACTCTTTTTTTTCCCCTTCCCTTCTCCCATGGTCTTCTGTTAGGTTTCTCAAGATCTACATATGAATGAAAACATGGTATCTGTCTTTCTCTGACTTATTTCACTGAGCATAATACCCTCCAGTTCCATCCATGTTGCTGCAAATGTCAGGATTTCATTCTTTCTCATTGCCAAGTAGTATTCCATTGTATATATAAACCACGTCTTCTTTATCCATTCGTCAGTGGATGGACATTTAGGCTCTTTCCATAATGTGGCTATTGTTGAAATTATCATGCTTTATTAGAGGTAACTAGAAACCACCATGTCCATTATGAAATCACGGACTTCAAGGTAAAAAGGAAGCAGACTTCAATCTGATGCTACGGCTAGAAAGACAACGCTTCCCTGCACAAGTGATGTGCTCCCCATCATCCAACCACAGCCTCCCCAGCCTGCGAGCACAGGAGGTGGACACAGGTTTGGGAGGAAGGAAAGGCTGATCTCTCTTACATTTCTAGTAAGTCCAAGTCAGGGGCCTCTGGTTCCATGGTGGAAAAGATCATAACTCCTACCAGCTCGTCTTTCTCAGCCTTCCTCTTCCCAGTTTTCCATTCCTGCAAATAAGAACATTATAATGTTACCGTGGACAGCACAGTCTTTCAAAACTCCCTAATGCGATTGGCTCACTGACTATCTTTCTAATTGTCGACAGCAGCTCCCATGCCATCGCCCTCTCCACTGAGGGAGTGTGCACACTCCAGATGTAATCTCTGTACACGAAACACGTGCCGATGTGCAGAACGGTCCCTGTGAGCCCAAGTCCCTTCAGAGCGAGGGGACTCAATCCCTATCCTTTCCCAACGCACAGCAATATAACAGTGAACACGAACACACCCTATATTCCTGACCAAGTACCTCAAAGTTTTAGGTTAAATGTTTTCTTAAAAAAGGTGAAACCTTTTCTAAAATATAAGATAGGAACCAATATTATGAGCTATTTTTAAAAAAAAAATTTTTTTTTGTAAGAC